AAAGAGAAGGACCAGGGGAGACATGCTAGCAGTCTTCCAATATTTGAAGGGCTGCAGCAAGGAATAATTGATGGAAACTGAACAAGGAGAGATTTAACCTGGAAATAAGGAGAAACTTTCTGACAGTGAAAACAATCAACCCATGGAACAGCTTTGTCTTCCGAAGTTGTGGGAGCGCCATCACTTGAGACTTTCAAGAAGAGATTGGACTGCCATTTGTCAGAAATGGGTCTCCCACTTGGGTGGGGGGTTGGACTAGATGATCTACAAGGTGCCCTCCAACTCTGATTTTCTGTTATCTGTTATCTATTATCTGCTACATGCTGAGCCCTAAAAGTTCATGAAGGTTTTACAGAATTATGTTATCAGTTTTCTTATGAGTGCTCTGCCCAGCCTGACTTTGCTCTTCCCCAGTTTCCTCTACAGCCAATGGAGCCACTCTCCCACTCTCTGTCAGCTGTTCATCTTCCCCCTCAGATTCAGACTCCAATGGGGGCATGACATTGGGTATGTTTAATTTAATGAAAAGGAAGACCAGGGGTGACATGATAGCAGATATTTCAGGGGTTGCCACAAAGAAGGGGAAGTCAAGCTGTTGTCCAAAGCACCTGAAGGCAGGAAAAAAAACTAATCAAGGAGAGAAACTAAGGAGAAATTTCCTGACAGAACAAATAATCAGTGGAACAACTTGCCTTCAGAAGTTGTGTATGCTCCAACCCTCAAAGTTTTTAAGGAGAGATTGGACAACCATTTGTCTGAAATAGTATAAGGTTTCCTCCAAGGTCCCTTTCAACCCTCCTATTCTATTCCATTCCATTCAAGAAATTTTTTCTACTATATATTGAAATTTGTCCCCTTAGCCTCCATTTTCTATGCCCTGCTGTATAATTTCCTCTATCTGTGACCTAATGGAGACTTCTCTGCAAGTAAATTTACAGAATTTACACGTGGCAGTTAACATTTAGCAGTTGTCATACAATTTCCTCCTTCAGGAATGGGAGCTCTTGGAGGCAGCCCTGTCCAGCAAGAGTGAAGCTGGCTCCCCTGGAGCTGCTCCTCTGATGCTATTGCCATGTCCTAAATCCTTGGGAGCCACATTAAATAAGTCATAAAAAATTGGGGTGTAGAGAGGCTTTGATCTCCAATGAGAGACACCCCCAAGAATTCTTATTCTGTAATTCTGTAAAATAAAAACGTCATGAACTTTTAGGGTGAGCACATAGCTAATCTTCATTAGCTAAGTAGCATCACATTTCATTATTTCACTTGGCTCAGTTTGCAAAGGTCGATTGCTAGAAGTCAAAACATCTTGATAGCATTTAATCCGTGAAAACACCTTGCAGACGTCCTAGGTAGAAACGGGACAAGCGTTTCCTATCCGGAGATGGAAGTCAAGAGGAAAACATCTATGCCTACAAAGCTGACATTACAGTAGGCGGGCTCGGTGATTGAGTTTAAAGAGTTAAAACCATCAAGTACTGTATTACTAGAAAGGATGGGAAGAGAAGAGAAGAACAGAGGAACTTCCTCTTCCGGATGATTCATGGGAGGAAGGTGGTGTGTAGAGCAGCTTTCCTGCTCTTCCCAGGATCGAAGCAGCAGCTGGTAGTTGAGTTGAGGGCAGCAGGTGGGAGGAGAATCCGGGAGCAAGTCGGGCTGTTCGGTTCCCTCCACGGCCTGGAAGCAGAGAAGCAACTGGACTGAAGCGTGTCAGCTGCTGCTGCAGGTTCCTTTCCTCCCCAAATTTAAGGCCATTGGTGGCTGCAGTTTTCCTTCTGGTGAGAAGATTTAAAAAACCTCTTTTAAGTTCAGGCTGTTTCTCCATCACTAGAGGAGTGTTGCAGAGGAACGTCGTTGGAAGGATCCCTGGAGGTCATCTATTCCAACCCCCCGATCGAGCAGGAGACCCAACATCATTTCAGAGAAATGGCTGTCCAGTCTCTGTTTCAAAGCCTCCAGTGATGGAGCACCCACAACTTCTGAAGGGAAATAGTTCCCACTGGTTTGTTCTGGGTGTCAGGAAATTTCTTCTTAGTTCTAGGTTGCTTCTCTCCTTCGTTATTTTCCATCCATTTGTCCTGCCTTTGGGTGCTTTGGAGAATTTTTTTTTTATTTTTCTATTTATTTATTTTGTCAAGTAATTATAAGATAACAGGTATAAGTATAAACATAGTTATGAATACATGAAATAGATACATAGAAGAAAAATAAAAATAAACAATAGGACAGGGTAGGCACGTTGGTGCTCTTATGCATGCCCCCTACAGACCTCTTAGGAAAGGGGTGAGGTCAATAGTAGACACTCTTAAGGTTAAAGTTTTTGGAGTTTGGAAAAGAAACCACAGAGTCAGGTAGAGTATTCCAGACATTGACCACTCTGTTGCTGAAGTCGTATTTCCTGCAATCAAGTATGGTACAGTTAACCTTGAGTTTGTATCTATTGTGTGCTCTTGTATTGTTATGGCTGAAGCTAAAGTATTCATTGATAGGACATTGCAATAAATAATTTTATATATTATATTACATCAGACCTTAGGCAACATAGTTCTAGGTTGTCTAGGTCTAGAATTTCAAGTCTGGTGGCATAAGGTATTCTGCAACGGGTAGAGGAGTGGAGAACTCTTTTTGTGAAATATTTCTGGACTTTCTCAACTGTATTAATATCACATACGTAATGCGGGTTCCAGACTGATGAGCTGTATTCAAGTATTGGTCTAGCAAATGTTTTGTATGTACTAGTTAGTAGTGTGATATTACAAGAGAAAAAGCTATGTAGGATTAGGTTAACAACTCTTAATGCCTTTTTGGCTATGTAGTTACAGTGGGCTCTAGCACTTAGATCATTAGAGATGAGTACTCCAAAGTCCTTGACTGAGTTTGGATCATCAACAAGATCTTGACTATTCAGCTTGTATTCTATTTTCTGATTTTTTTTGCCAATCTGTAAGACAGAGCATTTATTTGTTGAGATTTGAAGTTGCCATTTGTTTGACCATTCTGATACATAGTCAAGGTCTTTTTGAATGGTAGCAGTATTGGTGGTGTTGAATAGCTTTACATCATCAGCGAAAAGAATGCAGTTGCTCTTAATACGATCACAGAGGTCATTTATGTAGAGTATGAAGAGAGTTGGTCCTAGAACACTGCCTTGGGGGACACCACTGTTGACAGGTTCAGAATTGATAAGATGCTCCCAATTTTGACCATTTGTTGTCTGACAGGAATGCTTCTATCCATTTATGAAGGTGTCCAGAGATACCATAAGATTTAGTTTTAGGAGTAGTTTGTTGTGTACCACTGAATCAAAGGCTTTGCAGAAGTCTATGTAGATTATGTCTATTGCTTTGCCCTGATTGAGTTGTGTAGTCCATATGTTTTTGCAGTGTAAGAGTTGCAGATTTCGTGAAACCAAATTGCTTATTAGAGAGTAGGTTGTTTGTCTCTAAGTGGAGGGTAATGGATTGGTTAATAATCGATTCCATGACTTTACAGGTGACGCAGCATAAGGAGATTGGTCTGTAATTTTCAAGTAGGCTGGGGTCTCCCTTTTTGAAGATAGGAATGACCGTGGCTAGTAACCATAGTTTTGGCAAGGAGCTGGTCCTGAAAGATTTCTCAAAGATTATGCTTAGAGGTAGGACTATGGCAGTGGATAGCTTTTTAAAGAAGGTTGCACAGATTCCATCCGGTCCAATAGATAGAGATGGTTTTAGATTGTGTAGTGCTTTTTCAACATTGTCTTCTGTAATATCGATATGTATTAGATCATTGTAGTTGTCTGTGGTTCAACTAGGAAATACTGGGCATGATCCATTGCTGTTTATAAATACTGAGCCAAAGAATGTGTTAAAGAGGTTGGCTTTAATAGTGTCGTCGTTGCAGTCTTTACCATTAGGTCCTTTCAAGGGTGGGATGGACCTTGAGTCTTTTAGTTTGTTGTTTACAAAATTGTAGGAAGCGCAGGTGGAATTGGTGCGTAGAAGGTTTTCCTCTTGTTTAATGTGATAATTGGTGCATTCAGTCTTTATCTGGTGGCATAAATTGATCCCCTCTTCTTTGTGGCAACCCCTCAATTATTGGAACACCACTATCATGTCACCCCCTAGTTGTTCTTCTCACTAGACTAGCCATGCCCAGTTCCTGCAACTGTTCTTTATTTGTTTCAGCCTCCAGCCCCCTAATCATCCTTGCTGCTCTTCTGTGGGCTCTTTATGGAGTCTCAACATCTTTATAATACTTGGTGACCAAGACTGGTTGCAGTAATCCAAGTGTGGCCTTACCAAAGCATTATAACACTTCACTTGATCTTGACTGTATCCCTTTGTTAATACAGCCTAAGATTGCATTGGCTTTTTTGGCCACTGCAACACCCTACTAGCTCACATTTAAATGATTGCCCCCTGGGATTCATTGTTCCCTCTCATAGATACTGCCATGTTCCACCTATTTTGTGCCTGTACATTTGGTTTCTCTTGCTTAAGTGTAAAACCTTGGGGTTTTTTTCTCCATTGAGTTTCACTGTGTTAAATAGGGCCCAGTGTTCAAGTCTAGATTAGTTTCCATCCATTGTTTCTTGTCCTGCTAGTCTCCAGTCTTTTAATCATCTTAGTTGCTCCTTTTTGCACTTTTCTCAGAGTCTCAACTTCTTTGTAATGCACTGATTAAAAATGGATGCAGTATTCCAGGTATAGTCTTTTGGTAAGACTTTATAATATAAGACTTTATAAAGTGGTACTAATATGTCACGTGATTTTGATTCTATGGCTCTGTTTATATAACCAAGGATTGCATTAGTTTTTTGGCTTCTGCTGCATACTGCTGACTTGTGCTTAAGTGATTGTCCACTAAGACTCCAAAGTCCCTCTCACAGTTACTATTTTGGAGCCAGGTTTAGCCTAATCTATACTTGTGCCTTTGGTTTTGTCCCGCTCTGGGATATAATCCGTCAGGTTCCGTGATTTATATTCATCGAGGTCAGACAGGGATTCTCTTACCATTTTCTTGTTTAATGTTTATTTCTAGTCTGTCTTTTATATATAAATATATATATCTTTTAAAAAGAAAGTGTAAGTGAGAAATTGATTGATTGTATTTTGGCCTGATTCATTTTACTCAAACATTTCTCAGGATTAAACTTGTAGGTGGAGAGAAAAGGAAAATGTAAAATGGCTAACTACTAGTTTCTGGCTATCAGCAGAAGCTTCTGGATATTTCCTTTTCCAGAAGTTGAGAATTCCTCAAAAAGGAATTTTGGGTGGAGCTTTTTTGTATGTTGATTATGAAATTCCCACATGTGGACTTTCAGCCTTGTACCTTGATTTCGCCCAGATTTTGAGCCCCTGAATTCCCCAGCCAGCATAAAAGTAATCCTCAAGATACAACTATTATGGGCCTTGCAATTATAGTTGCATGTTGCAATGACTGTTAAGTGGGACGGCTTTCCTTAACTATCCAAATCCCCCTGCTTTCCCTGAAGCAGCCATTAATCAAATGTGTGAGTTGCTAAGCAACGTACAGGCTACTTCAGGGCTGAGGAAAACTCTTAGAGGCCTAGAGCAGGTCTAGGCTTGCCTGCCACAAGCATCCCTGGGGCTCCCCCACCCTCCAAAACTCCCTATGTTCTGTTTCCCATCCCTGCCCCTTCCCTCTGCTCCCCAGGGTCCCCATAGGATTTTCCTCACTCCTGCTGGGTCCCTGCAGTCCTCAGGCCTGATTACCACCCCACCAGGCCTCATACCCTCCTCCTCCTTATCTTTGGAAGATCTCTGATCCTCATGTTGCAGAGGGAGGGAAGGACACGCATTCTTGAACCTCAGTACTGTGTCCTGGAAGCAGCCACCATTTTCAGTGGGCCTCAGATTCATCCTTGGGTCGTGCGGTGTACTTGGGGAAGTGGCTGCCATTTTGCCATACTGATAATACAGAAGAGGAACAAACCTCTCTCTTTTGCTACCTTAACATGAGGAAAAAATGTACAATAGAAAATGTCTCAATTTTCACAATGCATTATGTTAGAATTATCAGAAACATTTGGCATGTAAAAAAGGGTATTATCAGTGTTGCTATGAACATTAGGGCAAGAAAAGTTGCTCAGAGTTGCCTCAGACTCTAAGATGGGCAACAATTAAGTTTAATAATAACAGATTTTTTTAAAAAATTAATTTTTATTAAACAATTTTTCTTATATACATCATTTCCATTCATTGCAAAGCTTCCATGACGGTATACATACTTTTACATAAATCTTAACTATCTGTACATTTGTCTATATTCCTTAATCTATCTTTGTCCACTATAGCCTTTGCCTTATTATCCTATTGTCAGATTCTCTATTCATCTATATCTATTATTTAGCCAATCATACAATGCATTGCACATCACATTTTCCTCTAGTGGCATACTATCTTTTTCCAGATTTTGTGCGTAAGTTATTCTTGCTGCCATTAATAGATGTAGCATTAGATATTTTGTTTTCTTATCACATTTTCCTATTATACCTAATAGAAAAATCTCCGGTCTTAGTTCAATTTGTTGTTTATATGTTTCTTCTATCCATTTTTTTGTCCTTATCCAGTATTTTCTTGCTACAGGGCATGTACACATGGTAATATGTTGTTTGCTTTTGTTTGGATTTCCAACATTCAGATGATCTGTTTGGGAACATTGTTGCTAATCTAGCAGGGGGTAGGTGCCATCTGTAGAACATTTTGTATAAATTTTCTCTATACGCTGCTGACATCGTCAATTTACAATTCTTTTCCCACATTTTTTCTCATTTCTCCAATTCTATCGTGTAGTCAAAATTTTTCGCCCAAACTATCATCATTTCTTTAACCCTCTCTTCCTCCATCTTATAGCCCAAGAAATAATTATATACTTTTTAATCAATTTCTCCTCTGGACCTTGTAGTATGTTATCTAATTTTGATAGTTCTCTATGAATCCTGTAGAGGTAATTCCCCGTTAGGAGAATGAGTGCACACAGGGAGATGTAGTGAGAGTGGTGAAGAATAACACACAAATGGCACACAGATACACTGTATAGTAAAATGTAGCTTTTTACTTACAATAAACGTTTAAGCAAAGTCCAAAACAAGCAGTCCATAAAAATGTGTGCCACCCTAATAGTAAGTCATGTCCTTCAATTGTCAATATTCTTTTATTTTTCAATGTTACCCTATCTTCAATCCATGTAAGGGCTGCTGCTGTATACTATAATTCCCAATCTGGCAGATCAAAAACTGATCTACTATTTCTGGACCCCCATTTTTCTCACAATTTTTCAGCATTCAATACCATCTTTCCAGGCATTCTTCTAACTAAATTAAACCAGCTAGCGGTAACACACTTGTAAGTGGATCATAAGCTTCCTAATAGACAGGAAGCAGCAGGTCCTAGGCAGAATCACATCTGATACCTGTACAATTAGCACAGGGGCCCCCCAAGGCTGTGTGCTTTCTCCAGTTCTCTTCTCCCTATATACCAATGACTGCATCTCAAACAATCCATCTGTTAAAATACTGAAATTTGCAGATGACACAACAGTGATTGGTCTCATTCGAGACAACGACGAATCTGGATACAATCAGGAGGTTGTACAACTTGCCTCATAGTGTAATGGAACAATCTGGAACTGAACACAGTCAAAACCATAGAAATGGTGGTAGACTTTAGAAGAAACCCTCCCATACTACCACCTCTTACAATACTAGACAACACAGTATCAACAGTAGAGACCTTCAAATTTCTAGGTTCTATATCACATGACCTAAAATGGACACCTAACGTCAAAAACATCATCAAAAAAGCCCAACAAAGAATGTTCTTTCTGCGCCAACTGAGAAAGCTCAAACTGCCCAAGGAGCTGCTGATACAATTCTACAGAGGAATTATTGAGTCTGTCAGCTGCACCTCTATAACTGTCTGGTTTGGTTCATCAACCCATCAGGACACAGACTTCAGAGGATATTTAGGACAGCAGGAAAAAAAATACTACCGTCCTGCCTTCAATCAAGGACCTGTATATTGCACGAGTCAAAAAGAGGGCTGTGAAAATATTTACAGACCCCTCACATCCCAGACATAAACTGTTTCAACTCCTTCCCTCAAAAGGACGCTATAGAGCACTGCACACCAGAACACCCAGACACAAGAATAGTTTTTGTCCCGAATGCCATCACTCTGCTAAACAAATAATTCCCTCAACACTGTCCAACTATTTACAAAGTCTGCACTACGATTACTATTAATCTTCTCATCACTCCTTATTACCCATCCCCTCCCACTTGTGACTGTATGACTGTAATTTTGTTGCTTGTATCTTTACAATTTTTATTGACAGTTTCCTAATATGATTTGATTGCTTATTGTACCCTATGACTATCATTAAGTGTTGTACCTTATGATTCTTGACTATTGACGAGTGTATCTTTTCTTTTATGTATACTGAGAGCATTTGCATCAAGACAAATTCCTTGTGTGTCCACTCATTCTTGGCCAATAAAGAATTCTAATTCTGTCTCTGTCTCTGAAGTGCTGCCTTCTATTTTCTCTTCCTGCTGCCTTTCTGGTTGTCACAGCTCTGGAGCCGCCATTGCCAGCCGATTTCTTTCCTGCTGGAGTTCAGAGGTTTCTTCTCGTCCATTTGGGAGATCGCCTTCTTCCTGCCTTCTCCGAAGCTTCCCCTTTCTCTTGTTGATCCCTCCAGGATTCAAGCAGCCCTTTAAGAGCCTCCACACAGGAAAATTCGGGCCATCGGAATGGAGCCCCGTTCCTTTGAGCCAATTCACCACAACGTGAATAATAAACGAATTTAATAATAGAGTAATGTAAAGCTCATTTCCCAACTCTTTGTCAGTGATGAGGACTTCACACATACAGTGGGTTTCTAACGAACTACAATTTGTTAACTTGTAATCTCTCTTTTGCGCAACAGCCAGAAAACTTGGTTGTTAAGTTATTCCAATCCCACCACTGTTTAGATCATTAAGAATTTAAAAATTTCTAAACAATTAAAATAAGTAAACTGTTATTTAAATGGAAAGATAAAATGAAAAATTGAAAAAGGAATTTTATAAAAACAATTGAAAAAAGAATTGAAAAATTGAAAAAGATTTAAAAATTGAAAAAAGAAATTTAAATTAAAAATGATATTTAAAAATAGGAAAAAAGAAGACTTAAAATTGGAACCAGGAATTGAAAAATTGAAAAAAATAAATTGTAGAAATTGAAAAGGAATTTTTCTTAAGTAATATTGGAATATTTCTTAAGTAATATTGAATTCTAGTATGACGTGGTCACTCTCACCAAAGGTTCTGGCAACTTCAACTCCCTCTATTATTTCTTCTCTACTAGTAAGAATTAGGTCCAATATAGTTTTTCTTCTAGTTCCCTCTTCTACCTTTTGGATGACAAAGTTGTCCGCTAAGTTGGTTAGGAATCTGTTCGATCTCCTACTTCCTGCAGAGTCTGTCTCCCAGTTGATATCAGGGTAGTTCATTACTCCCATTACTTCTTGACTCCCATTACTTCTTTTTCTCTTGATATAGTTTGTAATCCACGCATGTATTGAAAATGACAGGTGGATACAATTTACAAGTTTTTTTACTTCCATGTCTTGCCAATAAATATGGTATTTCCTGTCCCATCCATGTATTAACCAGGTTGGATTGTGCTTAATCCAGCACTTTCTAAAAAACTATTGAGGACCTTTTGGCATCTTTGGTTGCATAGGCAGTCCTCACTTACCACTTCTTCCCTGAGCCTTCAAAGTTGCCACAGTAGAAGCAGACGTGCACCTGATCCACAAAATTTGTGGTAATCCTAGCAGTTGTTCAGTGACCGCTTGTCAGCAGTGACTGTGATTTTGAAGGTGCAGGAAAAGAAGTTGCACCAATTTGGGTTCTGCCCATAGTTGCACATTTATGATGGCCGCATCATCCCACACCGATGATCCCCATTTGTGACCTTCCCAGCTAGCTTCTCACAAGCAAAATCATTGGGTATACTAGCAGGAAATTGCAAGTCCACAGTCATATGGAATTGCCGTTAACAACCTACAATGATTTGCTTAACAACAACAGAGGAACAGATGCAAGTTGGCACCATCATGTGACATCATGCTTAAAGATAGAGCTGCTGAATGACACAAATATCAGTTCTAATTGTGGTAGGTTAAGTGAGGACTACTTGAGTGGGGATGTCACCAGAGTACTCATGGACAGTGTTTTTGCTCTTATTTGCAGGTCAGGACTTCCATGCACAAAAGTAATGCTTCAAATCTTGCAGAAGCTTTCAGTATCATTTCATCAGTTAAAGCCCCCACATGTCTCAGTTTAGCTCAGGAGGTTTGAATGTAATTATTCTGGGACATTTTATCAGACTTGGAAGACATAGATTTTCACATGAATACATGTGTAGGTGGGTATATCTGTATTTCTCTCTATAGGGATATGTCTGCAATTATATAATCTATCCCCAGCACTACAAATTATAATTGATGATAGTCCTTTGTGTTGCTAAGAATTTGTGATTGACCCAATTAAACAAAAGAATTTGATTGAATGCATATTTGAACATGGATCTCAGTAGTCTTCCATGTGTCGAATGAATCATAAATAAGATAACTAAGATATTATTCTAGTATTGGGGCATGTTTGCTTTTTCATTGTAGTATTTATTGTTTTCTTTTTTCAGATCATCTCTAAACATTTTATAAACAATGTTACACTTTTCTTTGAATCTTACAGACAAAGAATATGGCAATAAGAACACTCAGGACAACTGGAAATAACAAGCATCATTGAAAAAGAAAATGAATCAAGCCAGAAATCAAAATATTTTCCATTTCCTTCAGAAAACCACACAATTCTCTTCCTCCTCCTCCTCTGGAAGTTGTTAGACAAAAGACAAAATTAAAAAAGATTTCAAGCCAGAATAAGCAGATTATGCACAATTCAAGGATACATTACATGAAAAGTCAAGGGAGGTTATTTTTCATTCAGCATATCTGGAAGTCAGTTGGAGGAAAAGGTCAATAGTAAAAGCCATGTGGATCAGACATTAATATAGGCCTCTCCCTGTGAGGAAGAAAATGGCTTGAATGAAAACACCACTAAACAAGGCATTGTCACAATTCCAGTCTGGTGATACAACAGTGGATTGACTCCAGGGAGAAACTGTATGAGTGTCATGATAGTGGGAAAAGCTTCATTAGAAATTATGAGACACCAGAGAACTCACACAGAAGAGAAACCCTTTCAATGTTCCTGATTATGGGAAAGTCAAAATTCCAGTCTTGTGATATACCAGAAGACTCTCATAGGAGAGAAATGTTTTGAATATCCTGATTGTTGCAAAACTTTCAGGTGTAATTCCAACTTAGTGATATATCAAAGGAATCAAAAGGAGAAAACCCTTTCAATGTCCTGACTGGGAGAAGTTCCAGTCATAATTCCAGCTTTATAATACATCAGAGGATTTATTGCAGGACAAACCCTATGAGTGTCAAGATTGTGGGAAAGGTTTCATTACAAATTCCCACATCTTGAGACACAAAAGTATACACATAGGAGGGAAACCCTTTGAATGTCTTATCTGTGCGGAAAGTTTCAATCAGAATTCCAACATGATACAGCAGAGGACTCATACAGGAGACAAACTCTTTGAATGTCCTGACTGTGGGAAAACTTTTAGTGAGTATTCCAGCCTAGTGAAACACCAGAGGAATCACACAGGAGAGAAACCCTTTGAATGTCCTATTTGTGGGAAAAGTTTTAGTCGGAATTCCCACCTGGTAATACACCAAAGGACTCACACAGGAGAGAAGCCTTTTAAATGTCTTATCTGTGGGAAAGGTTTTAGTGAAAATTCCAACCTGGTAATACACCAGAGGACTCACACAGGAGAGAAACCCTTTGAATGTCCTAATTGTGGGAAAAGTTTCAGACAGAATTCCAACTTGGTAATACACCAGAGGACTCATACAGGAGAGAAACCCTTTGAATGTCCTATTTGTGGGGAAAGTTTTAGTCGCAATTCCACACTGGTAATACACCAGAGGACACACACAGGAGAGAAACCCTTTGAATGTCCTATTTGTGGAAAAAGTTTTAATCGTAATTCCCACCTGGTAATACACCAGTGGACTCACACAGGAGAGAAACCCTTTGAATGTCCTGATTGTGGGAAATGTTTCATTACAAATTCCAGCTTCATGAGACACCAGAGGACTCACACAGGAGAGAAACCCTACAAGTGTCCTTACTGTGAGAAAAGTTTCAGTGAGAATTCCAGCCTGGTGATACACCAGAGGACTCATACAGGAGAGAAACCCTTTCAATGTCCTATCTGTGGGAAAAGTTTTAGTGATAATTCCAGCCTGGTGAAACACCAGAAGACTCACACAGGAGAGAAATCCTTTGAATGTCCTGATTGTGGGAAATGTTTCATTACAAATTCCAGCCTCAAGAGACACCAGAGGACTCACACAGGAGAGAAACCCTTTGAATGTCCTGACTGTGGGAAAAGTTTCAGTGAGAATTCCAGTCTGGTGATACACCAGAGGACTCACACAGGAGAGAAACCCTTTGAATGTCCTATCTGTGGGAAAAGTTTTAGTGATAATTCCAGCCTGGTGAAACACCAGAGGACTCACACAGGAGAGAAACCCTTTGAATGTCCTATCTGTGGGAAAAGTTTCAGACAGAATTCCCACCTGGTAATACACCAGAGGACTCACACAGGAGAGAAACCCTTTGAATGTCTTTTTTGTGGGAAAAGTTTTAGTCGCAATTCCCACCTGGTAATACACCAGAAGACTCACACAGGAGAGAAACCCTTTGAATGTCCTATCTTTGGTGAATGTTTCAACCAGAATTCCAACATGATGATAGGCCAGAGGACTCACACAGGAGACAAACCATTTGAATGTCCTGACTTTGGGAAAAGTTTTAGTCGCAATTTCAGCCTCATGAGGCACCAGAGGACACATACAGGAGAGAAACCCTTTGAATGCCCTAACTGTGAGAAAAGTTTTAGCGATAATTCCAGCCTGGTGAAACACTAGTTGACTCACACAGAAGAGAAACCCTTTGAATGTCCTATTTGTGGAAAGAGTTTCAGTCAGAATTCCAACTTGGTGAACCACTAGAGGACTCACACAGGCAAGAAACTCTTTGAATGTCTTCATTGTGGGAAAAGTTTCAGTTACCTTTCTAATCTTGTGATATACTGGAGAACTCACCGAGGAGAGAAACCCTGTGAATGTCCTGACTGTAGGAAAAGTTTCAGTCAGAATTCCTACCTTGTGATAGATCAGAGTATTCGGCCATGGAGAAATCTTTGAACTGTCCAGATTGCAAGCAGAAATCATCCCTTATTGCACACAAATAAATATTGCACACAAATATGAGGAAATGTAATTGAATTTAAAGAGTGCTTGAATTTCATTTGTGATCGCCCATTGAATGTGTAGGTGAGAGATTGATAGCTTGAATTATGTTTGAAAATGGAAGCATTGGTTTAGTTTACTTGATTGTCATTTCACCCCATACAACAAAATCAAACACCATCTTCAGTGCACATCATGAGCATTTGTTCACCCAAAACTAGTAAATCTTGAAAAAAAAATAACGTATAAAGATATTTTGTAGAAGGGGAACTAAAAACTAAAAAAGAACAACAGAAAAAGGATGTTGATTTATCATGGTGGCCACATATGCAAATGCAATCAAGATATGAAAAAGATGTTAAAATATATGGCTTTTATAAAGAGAAAACAACATTTGATCAAATACTGTTAGTGGTGGATGAAAAGTTAATCAAGAAATTATATAATTATTATTGTGGAATTATTTCTTGTGGAAGCGGCTGCTATTTTGCCACACTGTACACACTGATAACGCAGAGGAGGGACAAACCTCTCTGTTTTGCTACCTTAACATCAGGAAAAAAATGTGCAATAGAAAATGTCTCATTTTTCAAAATGTATTATGTTAGAATTATCAGAAGCATTTGACATGTAAATAATGGGTATTATCAGTGTTGCTATGAATGTTAGGGCAAGGCAAGACTCAAAAGACGCCCAGAATTGCCTCAAATTGAGGTGGGCAGTGATTAAGTTTAATAATAAATGAATTTCATAATAAGGTAATGTAAAATTCATTTCGCAACTCTGTCAGTGATGAGGACTTCACATATGCAGTGGGTTAATATCTGCAAATTTGGTAAGTTCCCCTTCTGTTCCCTCATCTAAGTGGTTTATGAAGATATTGAAGAGCACTACCTTTCTCTCAGCCTCCTATGGGCACTGGAGGAGTTGCACTGAATAAAAAAGTCGTTACCTGTCAGAGTTGCCATGCTCAATTTATTAACAGTGATGCGGCCCCAATCGGCAAGAACAGGTAACCCGGATTCAGTTAGCACTGAGAACTGCTGCCTCTCAGCACATTATGTATCTCCACTGCCTTGCCTCTTCTATGCGCCCCTGGTTACCTAACATCCGCGTAAAGCCACCAATATCTCCCTGTGTTTCTGCCCCATGCCTAATCCCCCGTGCCTTTCCCTGTTCCTACTTTCTGTATGTCTCCCTTATCCCCAACTTCCCCCCTCGTATATCCATCCCATCCCTTTCTCCTGAGATTCGTGTTCAGTTTGGATTCCCATGTTCTCCTACATCATGATGTACACGCTTGCCGGATCCCGGTTAGTTCCACCCCACTCAATCTGGAAATGTGTAGGGGCATTTTTTGCACTGAGATTTGTACACTGATATGCCTGGCACCCCTGGTCAGCCCCTCAGATGTGTCAAGCTCCAGGACGGGTCCCCAGTGTTCGACACATTTGACATGTAAAAAATGGGTATTATCAGTGTTGCTATATTGGGGCATGGCAAGAGTTGCAAAACGCTCAGAGTTGCCTCAAACTGAGATAGGCAGCAATTAAGTTTAATAATAAATGAATTTAATAATAAGGTTATGTAAAGTTCATTTCCCAACTCTGTCAGTGATGAGGACTTCACACGTACAATGGGTTTCTAACACACTACAATTGTTAACTTGTAATCCCTCTTTTGTGCATTCTGTATCTCTGTGACCAATCTGTCTTCCTCAGCTTCTCTTCCCTCATTATAAATTTAGAATTTCAGTTTTAGTTGTACATCAGCCCATGCACTCTATGACTCTGATGATGTGAGCTGCAATTAGGTTTCTGCCTCTTACTTTATTTGTTGCATTGCTATCTGACCAGTCCTAAATTCTATGAATGAATGACATTTCATTGGGCACACTTAAAAAATCTCCCCGTTAGGAGAATGAGTGCTCTCAGGGAAACGTACTGAGAGTGGTATTGAATAACACACGACCAGCACACAGATACACTGAATAGTAAAATGTAGGTTTTACTTCCAGTAAACAGGTAAACAAAGTCCAACAGATAGTCCAAGTCATACAGGTTAAAGCAGTCAGTATTCAGTCAAGGGATAATCCAAAAACAAAGTCCAGTATCATAAACACTTCAGTAAACAGACTCATGGCAATCCAAGAATGTCGATCAGGCAATAGTCAATAGGGAAAATGCAAGAACCAAAAACATTGAACAACTAAGAACAACTAACAACCCATGTTCCTGGCTCCATCTTATGACCGTTTGAGGAACCACACTGTTAGGAATATAAGTCACTTAACGGTTATTTTGGGTTGGAAATATATAAACCAGGATAAACATTTTAAAACTATCTTTAAGAAAATGCAAAACTAATTGGGTGTGGTTTCTCAAACGGCCATAAGATGGAGCCAGCAACCTGGGTTATCTTAGTCTTAGTCTCAGAAGAGAGTGTGAGTGAGTCTCTGTTTCCTTCTGTTGGAGAGTATTGCCGTTCCTCCTATTGACTGATATTCTTGGATTTGATGTAAGTCTGATATTGAACTGTTTTTGATACTAGACTTTGTTATTAGATTATCCCTGGACTGAAAACTGACTGATTTAACCTGTGAATGACTTTGGACTGTGTTTGGACTGCTTAAATGTTTCTGGAAGTAAAAACCTACATTTACTGTACAGTATATCTGTATGCTGTGTATTATTCAAACATTTCTCTCAATATGTCTCCCTGTATGCACTCATTCTCCTAATGGGGAATTACCTCAACACACACCCAATTACAATTTTAGCATTCCGTTAAAGAGACGGTATTAAATGTCTATCCTGGTTTATATATTTCCAACCCAACTGTTAGGTGACTAACATTCCTAACACTCTATACCATTTCAGAGAAATGGCTATCCAGTCTTTGTTAAAAACTTCCAGTGTGATTAATTGTTCTCATTGTCAGGAAGTTTCTCCTTACTTTTAGGTTGCTTCTCCCTCTGTTCAGTTTCCATCCTTCTGGTGCTTTGGGAAATATATTGACCCCCTTCTTTCTGGCAGCTCCTTAAAAGCCTGTAGCCTATCACACTCTTCAGTAAAGCATGTGAGCCATTTCCTCCTTTCAGTGGTCCATGAAAGTACATCTATAGTATGCAGATAAAGTCAGAAAAGGTGAACAACATTTTTACAGAACTATAGATAAGTTGAGGCTGGGTGACAAGGAATGGCTGGGAGGGGAGGGGCCAGGTGAGGCATCCCTTGATGTGAGTGACATTGAGTTGGCCACACCCACCCAGTCACATGACCACCAAACTATGCCCAACCAGTCACATGACCACCAAGCATGCCCACCAAGTCACATGACCACTAAGCCACACCCACTTAGTCACATGACCACTAAGCCACACCCACCAAGTAAGTCACGCCCACAGAACCGGTAGAAAAAAAATTGAATTCCACCACTGGATGGAACAACATGGTTTTCAGCTTTATGTCATTAAATGGTGCCCTATAGATGAGCAATGCCCACGCTAAACAACTGTAGAGCATTGGTAACTGAGGCCTAAGGAGTTTAAACATTTGAACAGTAGATTCCTAGAGAGGATTTGGAGAGAACAACATCAGGAGAGCTTCCCCTTCCTGCTCTCTGCTGATAGCGGGGAGGCAGGGATGGTGGACCTCCTGGTCTTCCCAGGGTGGAAGCAGCAGCTGAAAGGTGAGCTAAGCACAGGTGGAGGAGAGGCCGGAATCAAGTAGGGCTGTTTCGGTTTCCCCAGGGTGTAAAAGCAGAGAAGCAACAAAGCTGAAACATGTCAGCTGCTATATATTCTTTCCTTCCTCAGATTTCATTCCACTGGTGGCTCATGCTTTAAAACTGGTGCCTGCATTTTCCTCTGTGTTGGAGTTTTAAAAAGTCTTCATGTTAAGGTTGACTCCTTGCAATTGTATAGACATGTTCGTTTCTTGGCAACTAATTTGGAACTGTTCTGTCACTGCTACCTTCAGGAATTTTGTTTTTAATTCCATATTTAGCAAACACAGGATTCCCTGATGATGTGCCATACATGGATTAATATGGCACAACTCTGCTTAACCCACAACTTTTTTTTAAAAAAAAATCATTATTTAAGAAAATAATTTCTTATTTGGAGTAGTGGACTTCCACGGGCAAACATGGTCCTTTAACTCTTACAGAGGCTCTTGGGATCATTTCACCATTTCGCCCACCCACTCACCTAATCCTGTTGCACTACATTCACATCAAAAAGTGTGAGTGTACCCACATATATGTGTATACGTATGATCTGTCCCCAGCACTTCCAGATATATTTATCTCTTTGCAGTTCTATGAATTCATGATTGATCCAAGTCAGTAAGTAAATTTCCAAATTGAATGGGTATTTGAATGTGGCGCTCACTAGACATGTATACTGAAAAAGAATCAAAATTAAGAGGTTGAATTAGCATGATGGCATCTTTGTCATGTTTTATTGTATATGCTTTTTGCTGTTTTTTTTAATGTTGTATAGCCATTTTATAAATCATAAAGCAATCCTTTTATGTGAATCTTACAGGCAAAAAAATACCAAAGAGAGCTCTGTGGAGAACTGAGAATCACAAGCAGCATTGAAATGCAAAGCAAACCAAGGCAGCAATCTCAGTTCCTTTGGAGAACCCCAAAACTCTTCTTTCTCTGCAGGTGACAGTCAAAGTGGGAAAAATGAGGAAAAGAGTTTTGAGCTAGACAAAATATGGTATGTAGATGAAACCTATCAAAATATCAAGGGGGATCATTTCCTAGTTGAGAAAAAAAAGGGAAATATATGGAAGTCAATGAGAAGGAAAAGGTAATTTAGACAGCCACATAAGACAGACAGTAATGCAGGCCTCACCCTGTGAGGAAGCAAACTATGCCTGGGAGGATCCACACTGGAGAAAAGCCATATCAGCAAATGCAGCAAAAGCTTTGGTCAAAAAAGTTCCCTGGTTATTCATGGAAGGACTCACACCAGGGAGGAGCCCTACCCGCTCAATGGGTAGATTTTATGGGGAAAAAGATCCAGGCTGGTGTAGTGTTGAAGGCACCAAGTTAGAGACTGGGAAATATTC